GCCCGTTGTGCCTCGGGGCGGTGATGCCGGGCGAGAGCCTCTCCTCGAGGGTGCTGTGTGTGGCTGCGCAGCCGTGTGAGCGAGCGTGGCTGGGGGTGGTCTCTCGCTTCGCTTTGGGAGCGATGCCCGTTGATTTCCCAGATCTCCTGGCTGCTGTGAAGTCAGTCACCGGCTTCAGCTGGGTCTGTGGAAGACAAAATGTGTGAGCAAATCAAAGTGCTCTTCCTCGTGTGTCTCGCATGCCGGGGATTGCAGGGTGTGGGGTCTCGCAAGCAGTTTTGCAGTGGTGGGGGGTGCAGCAGCAGCCAGCGTTTGCACGGGGGAGCGCTTTCTCCCGTTTGGAAATGAGGAGTGCAAGCTGTGCGCCCGTGCTCTGCTGTCAGTGAGTCCCCTCCGCCTGCTCCAGTCCGCAGACACCCTGCCCGTGCCTGTCCTGGCACCCCTGGGGACCCTGGCTCCGCTGCGTGGCCCTGCGGCGTTGCCGGCCGGCATCCTCCGCGTGCCGCTGGCCTCAGACGTGGGCATCTCGGCGGACCCCGGCCGTGCAGCCGAAGCAGGAACGCAGGTAAGGCTCTGTCTCTTCTGGGCACGCGCCCTGGAACGCCCACGCTGTGGAAGGTCACAGGCGTGGTGTTGCTTGAAAGCTTGAATGATAGCACTCGTGATCTCTTGTCAGCCTTGTCTTACTTCTGTCTATTAAAAAACCCCAACATTTCCCTAATCTCTTTCACTACACTTCTTTTCTTTTGCAATGTCTAGGGGATCCCAGTGCTAAATTAGCAGTGGGCTTTCTTCTGCTGTGTTGGGCAGCTCAAAAGAAGGAGTTGTTGGGGAAACAAGTCTGTTGAGTTCATTCTGGTAGAACTTTGATTTGTGCGACATTCAGTACAGATAATGTCATCTGATAAATAAGATTTTCACTCAACTGTTTTCTGCCGAGATTAAAAGTACAACTTTCTGGACCAATGTAATAATCAGTCACATCAAATGATTATTTATGTAACGTGCCCTTTGGGTCAACAAAACAAACATGTTTAAAGTGGTAACAAATTGATCTGTTAAAGGAAAATAAAATGACAGATGTGCAAAACTTTATACAAATAAACACCTTCCCTGAAGGCTTTCTTCTTGCTGGTGGTTTTAAACATTTTATTTTAATGCTGCCTTGGCTGAAGCAGTGTTTTGAGGCCCAGGCAGGTGATTTGGCTGTGCTTCTTCAGGGTGGGAGCCCCTTGGTGTACAGGGAAGTGCAGCCTTGTAAAAAATACATCCTCTCCTGCTGGAGACGGAGCTCTGCGGAGCAAGGGTAGTGTGTGACCACAGCAGGGCAGGGCTTGGAAGGGCCCTCTGGGGCTCAGAGGCTGCACAGGAGCACGTCCAGCTGGAGTCCGGGTATCTCCCAAAAACGAGACTCTGCAGCTGCTCTGGGCAACCTCTTCCAGTCTCCATTGCCCTCAGAGTGAAGAAGTTCTTCCTCGTGTGCAGGTGGAACTTCCTATGCTTCAGTTTGTGCCCATTGCCCCTGAAAAGAAGTCTGGCCCCATCCTGCTGACACCCCCCCTGAAGATATTTAGAAGCATAACTTGTCGCGCACCAGCACTCCCCAGTCCCTCTCTGCAGAGCTGCTCTCCCCCACCTGTACTGGTGCATTGGATTATTCCTCCCCAGGTGCAGGACCCTGCATTTGCTGCCCTTGTTGAACTTCATCAGGTTCTTCTTGCCAAACTCTCCAGCCTGTCCAGGTCTCACAGGATGGCAGCACAGCCACTCCTCCAAGTTCTGTGTCATCAGCAAACTTGCTGAGGGTACGCTCTGTCCCTTCATCCAGGTCATTGACAAAGAAGTTGAACAAGGCTGGGCCCAGTACTGACCCCTGGGGACACCACTGGTTACCGGCCTCCAACTAGAGTCAGTGCCGCTGATGCCAACCCTCTGAGCTCTGCCATTCAGCCAGTTCTCAATCCACCTCACTGCCCACTCATCCAGCCCACCCTTCCTGAGCTTTCCTAGGAGGATGTTATGGGAGACAGTGTCAAAAGCCTTGCTGAAGTCAAGGCAGAAAACATCCATGGCTCTCCCCTCATCTACCCAGCCGGTCATGCCACTGTAGAAAGCTATCAGATTGGTCAAGCATAATTTCCCCTTGGTGAATCCACGTTGACTACTCCTGATAACCTTCTGCTCCTCCACTTGCTTGGAGATGACATTCAGAATGAGCTGCTTCATCACCTTTCCAGGGACGGAGGTGAGGCTGACCGGCCTGCAGTTCCCTGGGTCCTCGTTCTTGCCCTTTTTGAAGGCTGGAGTGACATTGGCTTTCCTTCAGTCCTCGGGCACCTCTGCTGTGCTCCAGGACCTTTCAAAGATGATGGAGAGTGGCTCGGCAATGATATCTGCTAGCTCCCACAGCACTCCTGGGTGCATCCCATCGGGGCCCATGGATTTGCGGGTGTCCCGTTTGCTTCAATGATCTCTCACCCGATCCCCCTAACCAAGGGAAGGTCATCCTTTCTAAAGGCATTCAGTAACTCCACCTTCTCCGTATTCTCTGTCACCAGGGCACCCACCTCATTCAGCAGCGGCCCCCCATTTTTCCTAGTCTTCCGTTTGCTGCTAAAGTACCTGATGCAGTCCTGCTTGTTGTCTTTGACATCCTTTGCCAGATTTAGTTCCAGATGGGCCTTAGCCTTCCTCGTTGCTTCCTTGCATGCTCTGACAGTGTTCTTGAATTCCTCCGAAGTGGCCTATCCCTCGTGCCACATCCCGTAGACCTTTCTCCTGAGCACCTTCTTGGAATTGTGCAGCATCCCTGCCGCGGGCCGGTGGGCCTCTGCGTTTGTGTGTCCCCTTTCTCCTCAGCTGTCCTTTGACTTCCCGTTCTCTTTCCGACCTTGCAGCCTGCAGAGACCTGTAAGCCCACCAGCCCGACCAAGAAGTTGCTGGCCTTGGTCTGCCAAGAGAAGAGTTCCTTGGACGCAGCGGCTCCAGATGAAGGGAGAAAGGAAGAGGAGGAAAGTGAGAGTGAGGTAGGTTGCGTGCCGTGGTGTCCTGGGTTCGGCCAGGACAGGGTTAATTTTCACCGGACTCCAGGAAGGGGCACAGCCAGGGGTAGGGGCTGACCCCACCGGGCCAAACAGAGCCCGGTACTCCATACCATGGGACCTCACGCTGGGTTCCTGGGGGGGGGGGGGGGGGGCGCGGGGGCAC